CTTGCCTTCTTTACAGGTGCTCACAGTTGCAGAATAATGGAGAGATGTTTGAAAAATGAACAAACGAAAGTAAGGAAAGTCATTCTTTGTTATCTTACAATAGACTAAGCTAGAATTGATCACCCAAGGAAGGTCTCAAGAGATTAGCAGTCTAGGAGTGAGCGAAAAGATCAGCCTATTTCTCAGGGATAGTAAGCTTCTGAGAAAGCAGAAGACTTCCTTTGCATAATGTTTATTCATTAATATATATAGTTTATATGACTGCCCATCTCACCACACTGACTCTGGGTGGTATATAAGGATTAAAACAGCAATCACAAGCAATGCCACCTGAGTTAAGAACACATCCCAATCATAGAAACCACATCTCACTTTACCTCCTGTAGGGACCTTCTGAAACTCTGGGGGGTCACTGTTGCAGATGTAATTTCTCTGGCATCTGACTCAGTTTTCCCCAACCTGGTATCCTCCAGATGTGCAGGCCTGGAACTTCCAGGATTTCTAGATGCCTGGAAATTCTGGAAGCTGACCTCTAACACGTGTAAAGGTCCAATCAGTGAAGGCTGTGCTATGTTTTGATAGGTTCAGCCAGTAGAAAAATGCTACCTAACTCTCCACTAATCAGGCATCAGCAGACAAAACAAAACTAGCATGAATGTTGCTATTCCCATGGAGGATTCCCTAACCCATCTCTAATGATTCTGCTTGAGTCACTGTCATGACCTTCTGCCATGGTTTTGAGTGACCTTTGCTCACCTTTGAACTGTATTGGAATAAGGGTGGAAGTATTCCTTCAGCATCAATGCAACTATGGACAACTTAAGCCTGTTTCCTCATGATCTGAGGACAAGATGAAGCAAAGTTTTGGGACATCATAAAAAAATACGTTGCCAGGACACATTTCTGCTGTGGTTAGCTGCAAGTGAGACCTTTCTCTTGTTGGACAAAGGAAAGCAGTTCATTGCATATATGACCTACACATTTTGCTTGAAGTTGGTAGCTCTAGCAATAATAGGTCTAGGGGCTAAATGCTAAGGATGATTCCCTCAAATCATATAAAAATGTATGTATGTATGTATGTCATGAGGCATTTTCACTGTGCTCATCTATTCCCATGGTACAGTTCAGCAGATATTCTCCTCAAGAAGGTTGCTACATATAAGGTTACAAAAATAGGGAACATCTAAGAAGGATGTACAAACTTCTTCATTCAACCACAGGCTTGCAGTGTGTAACGGCCAGTTTGAGAGGAGGAAAGGGGTCTGGCTGGCATCTTCAGTTCTCTGGACCTTGGATCCATGCTTCTTGAAGGGAGCCTGAAAGGGGGCAAATTGAAAGATCGGGTGAGTTTAGACCCAGATCAGTTGCAGAGGCTATAGAAACAGAGAGCTTATGAAAGCAATCGGCATAACTTTCTAGCAGAGATTTAACTAAATCGTTACCATCTGTTGATAAATAACTCTTTGAGGTGCTGGAATCCAAAGATGGTAACTGAAAGCATAGTATTTAAAGGCATGGAAATATGATGCTTGGGAGCTTGTGATGCACAGCTCAGCTAGAGGAGCATCTTAGGTCCCATTCATTATTGTTTAACTTTGATACGTTTGGAAGAATTAACTTCAAGGTGCTGGTTATTACCTATAAAGCCCTGTATGGTGCAAGGCCTGGATATGTGAGGGACAGCTCATTTCCAATCATTTCTGCCCACCCAGTATGTTCTGGCAGAGTGGGTGTGCTCAAGGTCCCCCTATTAAACATTGTCATCTTGAGGGACCGAGGAAGTGTCCTGTGTCACAGACCCCACCTGCTGCAACAGCATCCCCCCTGAGATATGGACAGTGTCCTCTCCCCTAGAGTTCTGGACAGCTCTTAAAACCAATCCTACAAAGCAGGATTGATGTATTCTGGTTGTGTTTTTGTGGGGGAAGGGCTGTTTTGTTTTGTTTGATTTGTGTCATTTTAGGTTTTATCTGTTTTTATGGGCCTTTTTTTTTTAGTTTTGTACACTGCCAGAATCCATTGGGATTCAGAGGCTGTAATAAATGTTGATGCATGTATGGATATGTATGTATATCTGTGTGTGTGTGTGTGTGTGTGTGTGTGTGGTGTAAAAGTGACAGCAACATCAGGACGAAGGAGTATGAGAAGCTGGAGAAGTACCAGGGCCCGAAGGAGGAACTAGAGAGGATGTGGAAAGTCAAGGCCAAAGTGGTCCCAGTGGTAGTAGGAGCACTTGGGGCTGTGACTTCTAAGCTGGGAGACTGGCTTGAACAGATCCCAGGAACAACATTGATGCTCTCTGTCAATAAGAGTGGAGTGCTAGGAATGGCTAAGATTCTGTGTAGAACCCTCTAACTCCCAGGCCTCTGGTAGAGGACCCGAGATTGAGGAAGACACATACCACCCATAGGGGTAAGAGGAGAATTCTTTTATAGAAATAAAATAACTCCTTCACCCCCTTAAATGTAGCTGGCTCAAATTCCATCTTTTTCCATAACAAGCCAGCTAGCTTTCCAACCCTCACTTATCTTGGGCATATACAGCTTTACTACCAAAAGGTGCCAGGGCCATAGACGAATGCTTATGTTCTGGGTTGATTTAAATGGTGCAGAAAACAGGGCAGCTGAGTTCCACATCTAGGCCAGCTTTCCCCAACCTAGAGTCCTGTACATGTGCTGGACTACAACATCTATCATCCTGAAATTTGGGGTGATGGGATTATAGTCCAACACATCTAGAGGATCTCCATTTTAGGGAGACTTCTCTAGCTTTTGAAGACATTGTTTCAACGGATTAACATTATAAAAGTCAGTGTGGTGCACTGGTCATTAAAATGTTGGATCGCTACTGGGAAGACCCAGTTCTAGTCCCACCTCAGCCACAGAAGTTCACTTATGGACTCTGTCTCTCGGCCCACACCACCTTACAAGTTTGCTATGTGGGAAAATGGGAGGAAAGAGTGCTGCTTATGGCTCCTTGGGCTGCTGAATGAAAAGTGGGACATAAAGCTAACTAACAGCTAAAAACTCAAGAGAGGCAGGATAGGCACCTACCAAATAAATAAAAAACAGGGAGAGAACCATGTGCGCCTGTCAGAACAGAGGAATCCAGTCTATTAGTTAAATCTGGCCTTCTCTTATTTCTTATTTTGCAGCTACTGAGTCAGGAGCGAATCATGGCTCTTAACAGCTACTGCTTTTGGGCCCTCCTTCTGCTGCTTTTCCTTCCAGTGAATTCCTTCTTCCCCTGCAGTGAAGCCTCATCCTATGAAGACTTCCTGAGAAGGCATGTGGACAACCCCAAAACTGATCTCCAGAATAACCACAACTACTGCAACAGGATGATGCGCCGCAAGGGCTTGAAATGTCAATGGAGCAACACCTTCATCCATGCCAGCAGAGAACGGCTGACCGCCGTCTGTACATCTAGGGGAAGGAAACTGGATGGCAATCACACCAGCAAAAGCCTATTTTCAATCACCATCTGCATCAAAAGTAACCAACACAAGACAATCTTCTGCAAGTACGAAGGGAAGAGTGAGATCAGGAAAATCCGAGTCACTTGCCATAGGGGCCTTCCGGTCCACTACATTACCCATGCTTGAATGAAGAAGAGAAATGTAGCAGAACCAAAGGTCCTATTCTACGTTGTTTTGGCAACCTTCCCTTACTTGTTCTGCTCTCCCACATCCTCACACACTCACTGAGCTGGCTGCATGGCTTGGCATAAGCAGTTTTCTCCAGTTCAGGCTATAGCCTTTTGGATTTATCTGATTTCCTTTTCCCACCAAGTCCAGCTTGGTGGTTTCATCAGACTTTCAAAGATCAGCCACAATAGCCTTGGCAGTGTCTTTAAATTCCACATGTGTCCATGCAAATAAAGTTGCAACATCCATGTGCTTCTGTCATTATTTCCTTGTGTTTGACTGCCTCCCTGTGTCTTTCGTGCAGCATAGCAACCTCTGTATCTATCATAGTAACAATGGATCTGCCCTATTCACTCATTGAGCTTAAGCATCAATCATCTTCACCAAAGGCCTGGGGAAAAAGCCATGTTTTCTGGGCCCTTCAAAATACTAGTAGGGTGGGGGCTGTTTAAATCTTGGGGGGAACCTCATTCTGGAGGTTAGGTGCTGCTGCAGAGAAGGTACACTTCCAGGGTCCTGAAAGATGGCATTGTTTAATTAATGGAACCCGGAGTGCACCAACCCTGCCACAGCAAATTGGCTGGGCAGATACTATGGTAGACAGGCAGTCCCTCAAAGAACCTGGCCCTATGTCATGTAGGGCTTTATAGGTAGTAACCAGCCCCTTGAATCGCACCCTAAAGCAGAGTGGCAAACAGTGCAGTTCACGAAGCAGAGGTGTCAGAAGGAATGTCCTTATTGCCTGCGCTGCTGCATTCTGGGCCAGCTGAAGCTTCCAGGTAGTCTTCAAGGGCTGCTACATGTTGAGAGCATTGCAGTAGTCAAGCCATGAGGTGACTAAGGCATGAGTGGCTATCTGAAGGACCCCTGATCTAGGAGAGGGCACAACTGGTGCATCGGGTGAAGCTGGGTAAAAGCCTTCTGGCTCACAGCTGCCACCTGCTCATTGAACAGCAGCTGTGAGTCCAGGAAGACCCCCAAGTGGTGTTCCACCCTTGAATGGGAACTGACCCCCATCCAAGGTCAAAGATGGAATATCCCCAGATGTGGGTGGTCAAACAGTTAGGATTAAGTCAGAGTCAGCTCCTCCCATCCAAACCTTCACAGCCTTCATGCATTGGGACAGAACCTT